CAAGCAAAAATTTATGCATTCATTGTACAGTTACCATTTTTTATAAAATAGTTACAATAGTTTATAAAATAAAATGTACATATTATGTTTTTTGAACAAAGAAATCATTTTGATGGAGATTAATTAAATTAGTTAGACATAATTATTTATGAATTTCAATTTCTGTTGCTCCTGTTAACAAGATAATTTTATTATTTATTCTGCTATATTTTTTTCATTAAAAAATTAATTATTTTATAGCGGAATGAACATTAGGTACCTACCACAAAAACAGTTATTTTTCCCATTTTTGTCGGACAACTTTTTTGGGGGTTTAAAAAATATATATCTTTCATTTACTTAAATTTAAAAAAAAAGTGCTGGTCATAACATTCCATGTTTATGCCAGATTGACATGTTTTCCTGAAAATCGCAGGAAAACTTACCACTGTTGAATTTTCCTCGTAGTCAAATCTTGGGAGACTCGTCAAACTTAAGCTGCACGCAAAGTTACAACTTGCTGGTAATCATTTTTTTTTTTCTTTGTACGTGGGCCCGTGGATTACTACATCAGGTGACTCCAAACATAAAAATTCAGGGGATTTAAGTCTGGGAACCGAGATGGCCAAGGTGTGAACTCCCTCACCTTATCCATCGATCTGGAAATGCATCAGTGAGGTATTTCCCAACAATTAAAGTAAAATAAAGATACGTCTCATCATGCATAAATCACAAGCAACGAAACGTTCCTGACTTATTTGTCAAAGAAAGTTTTCCAGGAGTTCAAGTAGCACATTAGTAATGGAATACTGCTAAGAACTCAATTCAGTTTATTTGGCAGAAAATATGGGCCAATCAAAACGCCCCCAATAATTCCAAATCATTATTTAACGGAAAATGTTACTTGGCACCATACTTTTATTGTGACATGCGGATATTCTTCTCAAATATGGTAACTGTGGGAATTGTTAATATCATCCCTTGAAAAATTTGCATCATCCGTGAAGAAAATACTGTGAAGAATTTAAAAATATTTAAATTACTTTCCTCAAGCCAATGATACCAATTAAATCTAAGAAAAATATCACACATCAAAAGAGTTTGAGAACACGCTGAGCAAAATAAGGATATAGCTAGTTCTCCCTTAAAATAGTCTATAATGTTTTCATTCTAACATGTTTTTTTATTCGAAAGGTACCAGTCTCTTGTAAACGGCAGTGGAAATGAACTGTAAGAATGTTTCTGGATATCCATAGCAAAAATTCATTTGTCATATCTTCCTTTGCAAAAGTAGCCATAATAATGCAATAGTCCAGAAAAGATTTTGAGAGAAAAATATAAGTAATACAGTGCTAAGCAAAAAAAAAATTGATATTTGCTAAACGTTTGGTAACACTTTCTCTACCTGAATGTTTCCGAAGATTACCACGAGTTTTTTATTCATCAATCTTTATTGCATTATTTTTAATAAAATATCATTTTTCTCCAGAACCAAGCTACAAATGAACAAATGCTACGAGACTTCTTATCAGGTAATAAACCACGATTATAAAAAAAAAACTCAAAAAATGGAAAATACAGTGCATGTTGTATTTCAAAATTATCTAATTATTGTAAACACGCACGTCCCTGGTGAACTGATTAAATAGTTTATTCTACAATATACTCTCTAATAGGCAGTTCTGATCATTCAAAGTTTGAGAAAATTACCAAGGTATGTATTAAAAACAAGAAAAAATATTAAACTTTAATACTCTGTATTTTGAAAAAGAAAAATTTTTAGACAGATGGAACGTTTTGTTCATAAAATAATTTGAGGGATCACTCTGAAATACTTTAGACCATTTATGAAATATCCTAATGTAATAATTGTTACAAACAGTAAATTTTAATTTCTGATTCACTTATGATTATATAGTATACAATTTTACTAAATCTTAAATACATAAAAATATGATTTCGCAAATTTTTTCACAAATTATCCTTATTTTTTTTAAATATATAATTAAAAAAGTAACAAAGTCTGAAATATTCTTACTTTCAAATTCCTCTTTAAACCCAGTCAATACAACCTCCTTATAACTACCACCATTAGGTGGATTTTTTTCTTCATAAGGACTGATCACGGTCACATTGTGACCCGCCTCTGCCAATCCTCTCATCAAAGCGTTGCCCAAAATATAATGACTTCTGGCTACCATAGGAAATATACCCAAAATTCGAGCATTTTGCACGGTATTGCACAACACACATAGAAGCAACAACTTTAGTATTTTGTACATCAGCATTCTTATTGCGATTAATCTCCTTTCATATTAAATACAACTATTGGTTTAATAATACGTTTTATATAGAGATAACAATAATATATTGATAATGCTCAGATTAGACTATTAAGACAAGCAACCAGTGGCGTATCTAGAAAGAATTTATTTTCGAAGAAAAGTAAACAAATAAAATAGTATAAGTATATTAAAAGAAATTAATAACGTATAAATTTAATCAATTCTACTACTTTACCTTCTGTTCCACTGTCTGTATTAGAGATATCCGTAAACCATCCTGTACATAATTTTTTGAGTATGTTGTATATCGATTACTATTCTCATCAACTTGTTACTCAAGACTGGAAAGGGTTATTCAAGAGATGCAGTAACAATATCGATACATCTTTGAAATTCATTTATTTTTTCTGTAAAAGTGGTTTGTTTCACTGTGGACCACCTAGAGCTCTGCACCACAGAGAAACCTAGTGACGTACATCCAATATAATATCCTCGACTTCAATCTTCAAGTTATACTGTTACTACAGGTTCGTCTCGCATTATCTACACTAGTCAAAAAAATTAAGGAACATTAAAAAAATCTCAAATTTTGGATGATCTTCAAAGAGCTGTAACTTGAATGGAAATGGTCGTAGAGAGAATAAAAAAAATGGAAATGGATTTTTTTCCTTTGCTTGTCTTTAAAAAGGTCTATGGACAATAATTTTTGTTAATAATTTCACCGTAAAGTACTTTTAGATAATTTAATTCTCTTCAATTTGAGCGGTTCCGGAGCCTTGAACGATTATTTGTCGCCGTGTTATCGTCGATCAAAGCAAAAAAAGACATTTTTGACTTTGGCAATCAATTACTCAGGAAATAATGATCGTACAGAAAATTCAAGTAGAGTTTTGAAAACTGCAAAGTATTCTCTACAAGCCATAATTATTGGTTTTTGATAAAAAAAAAGTGAAAATATTGGTTAGAAAAAAAGTAAAACATTGCATAATTAGGGATATTTGAATAACTTGACATAACTTTGCAAATAGTGTATAAACTAAGGATATTGACTGTAATTTTTCAACCTCAAACTGTCCTAAAGAAACCCTGATAGTTACAAAGTACTGCAATTTTTTTTTCCTAGTGACCGGGATATTTAAGTTTGTCGTGTTTGCTGAAAATCAATGTAATGAGTAATTTTTCACTTTTTATTCTGTATTTAAGTTGAAAATGTTTTTTTTTCAAAAAATTTTTTAACATTTTTTTAACGACGCACAGTGGGAAATATTGGAAAAAATTCTCGCCACTCGCCAATTTTCATCGTCTCGTCGTGATTTTTTTTTTTAATAATCTCGTGGTAATCTGAATTTTCATATTCCGGTGAGGTTTTTTCGAAAAACCCTTTTTTAATGCTTAAGGAGCGCCCCAACCTCAATGTCGAAGAAAAAATTTTTAAATACTCGATGTTCAGTTGTAGAAAAAAATGTTTAAAAAATATCTGCTATTAATAAAATTGATTATTATGACCTTTGATGATATATTTGGAGTTAGGTTTTTGAAGAAAAAACATCAGATATATCATCAAGGGTCATAATAAGGGGCGCTCCCTAAGCATTAAAAAAAGGGTTTTTCGAAAAACCTCACCGAAATATGAAAATTCAGATTACGAAATTATTAAAAAAAATCACGACGAGACGATGAAAATTGGCGAGGGGCGAGAATTTTTTCCAATATTTCCCACTGTGCGACGCTTCATAATCGTAAAAAAAATTTTGGTAATTTTTTTTTGACCGCTGTAATTGCCTTAGTTTTAAATGTCAATTTAAAAATTAATTGAAATAAGTTGGCTATGCAAATTTGATGTAGGTATTTCCTGGATTAGGTACCTAAAATTATTTTTAAGATATTTACACAATGTCTTAAAAAAATTGTGTTTGAATATTTGCGTGTGCAAAAAATCATACATTTTTTATATTATGCTTAAAAATGTATCCGTGAATAAACTCTGGTCCATATATTATCGAAGAGATTCAAAGTTGCATCATTTGAGGACAAATATATTTTCTTTGTCCCACGATTCTTTATTACACAAATGAAGTGTGCCAATTTAAATTTTTACTATAAAAATGTTGATACCTATAATAAATACTATATATGCCTATGTAAGAAAAAAATTGCATATTTATTATAAAATTATTGTATGTTCTTTAGATACCGTATTAAAAAATAACGAGCATATGTTCGTTAAATTTAAGTATACCTACTTATTACACCGTACTATATATTTAATATTGTTATTCAAATCGTATATCAATTGAACGTGAAAAACCTAAATATATTTTATTTGTACTCAATGAATTTTTCTACTCGAACTCTTAAAAATGGTACTATATACATTCTTAATTTTCTGTACATTTGTTCATTTTTTTAATTTTCGAAGTGCCCACATGCAAAGTACCCATTTTATAAATTGGTATCAGTTAGATGGCTCCGACACACTTATGGTTTCCGTAAATAAGCCAGAAACTTATTAACAAATGATAGTTTATTAGAATCCATTGAAATCAGATCTGGACTTTTGGGAGTTCAAAATATTTAAATATTTTGCTTAGTCGGTTATAAATTATTTATAACTTGAACAATTATTGTTCAAAAATTTTAATTAGACCAGGAAAATTTGCAAAAAAAAGAGAAACTCGAAAAAATTCCTATCCGCGGGAGTATTGTAAAATTGTTTAAAAGAACATAATACAAGACATCTCCCATCTCGTGAGTCAAAAATTGTATTAGCTAACTTTTCTATTTAAACAAATAAGCGAGGAACACAGTTTTTTCACTTTGCAGGGAAAACCATCAATTTGAGCGAAAAGTGACTCTCAGACAGCTTGTAGGGAATAAATTATCTACAAAATGAGACTTGTTAAATTAAAATAGGTTAATAAACAATAAAGTTATATGCAAAAAAAAAACAAGAAAAGTGCCCATTTTTTAATTTATTTATAACTATCGCTTTTATTGTTAAAATTTTATAAAACCTATGACAAGTTGAGAGTTTTGTCATACTTTAAAAGTGTGCCAAAACTAGGAGCTGTGGGTGCAATAGTTTTCGCCTAATTCAATTTGTATATAACGGAGGCTCCAAAAGTTATGAACTTTAAGCCGCCGTACAGGCGTTAATTTTCAACCAAACATGATTCTGAAAGCGTCATTGTAATCTTAAAGACGTAATTAAGAGACCTATTAAAAAATATCACCGTTTTTTTGACATTAACATTCTCAAATTGTGCATTAAAAAACCGTGCGTTTGTCGCTTATAAACAATTTGAATAAAATTGTTGCAATTTGTGCTACCTCACCGAAAATAGATGCAATGGATAGCTGGCAAAAAGATACAACTTAAAAAAAAGCACCCTCTACCGACCAACAGGAGCCAAGATAAGAATTCATTTTTAAAAAATCGTAGCCCAATTGTTTATAAACATTAAGGCTTGAATTTTTCGCAAAATAAAGTTTACGACGTAAACTACAATTTCCTGTGAATTGCATTGAAAAATGTGGAAAATTAACGACTCACGAGCCCTTTAAAGAAAGGGTACTTGCTAAGTAAAATGTCCGGCGTGGTGGTGTGGGAAGCTCGTCCAAGCGAGTCGCGCGCGCGAGAAGAATGAAGAATGAAAAGTTCAAATTGATGCGCGCTGTAAAATCTTGTAATATCTCGGCTTCTATTCATCGTAGAAACTTTTTTTTTTAACTGGGGTAGCTCGACGAAAAAATAACAATGGCATATTTACGAATTCGTAGAATAGCCCTGAACCCCAGAAAAAATGCATCTTTTATATTTAATTTTTTTCATGTACAAAAATGTCACAAAAATGATTGTTAAACGAAATATTAATTAAAATTTCATTTTCGGAATTATTTTACTATTATTAAAGTTAAAAAAAAAAGAAATTTCTACGATGAATAGAAGCACAGATATTGCAAAATTTACAGCGCGTATCAGTTTGAACTTTGGATTTCACTTTTCTCGCGCGCGCGACTCGCTTGGACGAGCTTCCCCCATCACCACGCCGAACAGTTTACTCAGCAAGTACCTTCTCTTTAAAGAGCTTGTGAGTCGTTAATTTTCCATATTTTTCAATGCAATTCACGGGAAATCGTAGTCGTAAACTTTATTTTGAGAAAAATTTTTAATGTTTATAAACAATTGCGCTACGATTTAAAAAAAAATCTTATCTTGACTCCTGTTGGTCGTAGAGGGTGCTTTTTTAAATTTGTATTGTAAATAGCAACAATTTTATTCAAATTGTTTATAAGCGAAAAGCGCATGTTTTTTAATGCACAATTTGAGAATGTTAGTGTCAAAAAAACGGTGATATTTTTTAATAGGTCGCTTAATTACGTCTTTAAGATTACAATGACGCTTTCAGAATCATGTTTGGTTGAAAATTAACGCCTGTACAAAGGCTTATAAACAAATTGAATTGTGCGAAAACTATTGCACCTACAGCTCCCACTTTTGGCACACGTTTAAAGTATGACAAAACCTTCTACTTGACATAGGTTTTATAAAATTTTTACAATAAATGCGATAGTTATAAACAAATTTAAAAATCGGCACTTTTCTGGTTTTTTTGCAATAACTTTTTTGTTTATTAACCTATTTTAATTTAACAAGTCTCATTTTGTAGATAATTTTATTCCCTACAAGCTGTCACTTTTCGCTAAAATTGATGGTTTTCCTTGCAAAGAGAAAAAACTGTTTTCCTCACTTATTTGTTTAAACAGAAAAGTTAACTAATAAAATTTTTTGACTCACGAGATGAGAAATGTCTTGTATTATGTTCCTTTAGACAATTTTACAATAATCTCGCGGATAGGAATTTTTTCGAGTAAAAATTTTTTATTTGCTTGGCCTAAATACCCTGCATATAAAACCAAGAAAGTCGTAACATTTTTGAGACATGCGATAAGCAGAAATTTTTATAATTAATTCAATTTTCCCATAAAATTACATATAAGTAAACAGTTTTTTCTCTTCAAGACACTTGATATAGTGTCCCATTTTAAAA